TCATATTATCTTATTTAAGTCACATCATCTCTCTAACACATCACTTCAAACCCAACCCAAACTCAACCCATATTTCATAAAAAGTCAAAAAATACACTTATTTAGTCTTCCCAAACTAGGCCTTACCAGTAATTAATTTACTTTTGACTTTTCACCTAAGGCGACACCTTCTGTTCACTCCAATCATTGTTGTCAATGTTGTGACATATTAAACTCATTCATGGCTAAAAGGAAAAGTAAGAGAATGTGCGAGTTCACGCAGCAAGAGGAGAAGAGCCACATTCTCTATTTGATTGAGTTTTTAAATTAATGGTAAATTATATACTGACACCCCTCAGATTTTGTTTGATATAGATTTTTTTTTTTTACATTTAAAAAATTATATTTATATTTTTATCAAATTAAAATAATATATTTATCTCTTAACCTTTATACATATAAAATAATATAAATAATTTATTCAGCCACTAGTGTAGTGCCACTAAAGTATGTTTTTGTTGTAGTGACTCACACAAAAAATTAATTTTTTTATTTTTCATTTTTTTTTATTTTTACAATTTTTTAAAATATTTTAAGCAGATTATTTTATTTTATTTTTTAAATACACCTAATCTAGATATACTTAAAAAATATAATATTTTGTATTTTTTTAAAATTCACCAAATGTAAAAAAATAAAAAAATTTAATAAATTATCTTATTTTGTTGTATTCTGTTGATTTTTTAAATTTTTTTGTACAAATTTTATACTTTTTAAATATATATATATATTAAATCGATCTAATCTAAATATAATTGTGGAAATAAATAAAAAATTATATTCATATATAACAATTTATACAAAAAAAAAAATTATAAAAATGTTGTGATAGTAATATATTGTAAATATAAATCATGTTTATGGTTGTTTTGTTTTAAAGTGAAAGGTCACCATTAAACTATATCATTGTATTTAAAAATTCTACTGTATAAAATTTATGTTTATATATCATCACTTAATAAAAATATATTCAGGTAGAATTTAATGATGGAAAGTTGTAAATGTAATCCTGAGGATAAGAAAAATAAATGGTAAAAATAAGGGCAAGATGGTCATTTAAAACAATTTTGGACATGACATTAGCAATTCATGAGGCAATTTATAATGAAATTACAAATCTCAGGGAGGGAAATGTAATTTTTCGAATGTGAGGGGATCGATAAAAATCTCAAGGGGTGTTAGTGTAATTTACCCAGTTTTTAAAAAATAAAAAATAACCATTAGTTTTTTTTTGGGGGGGGAAGATAAAATGATTTTTGAAAATTTAAAAATATAGTTTTAATATTTATTTTTGTTAAATAAATTTGGGTACTCATGCCATAAGTTCATTTCCTAATTTTTTTTTTTTTTTTTGGGAGAGGGGGGCCGCATTAAACCCGAGCTCTAATCTCTTTTGGCCAAAACGACATAATTTATCCAAAAAAAACAACTATTTGTTAAAATTAACCTATCTATCTATCTATTGAAATCACCTAATTTGTCTCCCTATTAAAATTCACCAAGTTTGTTTTTCTATTTATTAAAATTCACAAAACTGTTTATCTATTGAAATATGACACATTTCACTAATTTAAAATATTATACATTTTTTTACCTCATCACTACCACTTACTGTTGCTGGTGACTTTCCCTGCACCGACGAAGTTTTCCGCCATATTCTTATTATCAAATAAGATTTTTCCTTAGATTTAATATCATATATCCTCCTTAAATTAAACTTTTCACCAATTTTCTCAATCAATTTTGATTTTTAAAAAACATAAAAAACAATAAACTATTGGTTTGCTGCGGGTAGACTTCTTTTGATTATGACTAAAAGGTTATTGTCTAAAAAGTCCAAATTGCTAAAGATAAACTTAACTTAGCGAATTCATTTCCCACCAAAAATTCACCTTTAGCCCGTCTAAAAATTGATTAAAATAATCCAAAAAATAAAAAAATGTATCAAATAAATTTTCTTATATTAATTTTTAACAACAAACTTATCTTTTAGCTAAAACCTTTGAACTAATGCCTATGACTGTCACAAAACAAACTAAATTTTGAATCTAAACTAAGATTTTTCTAGTTTAGCTTAGTTACCAAAAAAAAAAAAAAGTCAACCGTATATATATTTCTTTCTATGACTTAAAATGAAATATTTATTAAAAGATGATATTTATTTTATAGTTAAATTTTGTTAATATTTCAAATTTAAATAATTATTTAAAAGATCTAATAATTTAATAGTCTTTACAATAAACTTAAATTTCAAATTAAGAGAACTACATGCAGGTGGAGAGGAGAAAAAAAATTATTAATACATTAACGGATGCTAGTGTATCAGTTATGGGGTTGAAAATGAAAGACTATGGAGGTGTAAGTGTTATATGCACTTCCATATGTTGGTATTTTTTTTTTCTTCTTTCACTTATATGTAATTTTCTTTTAAAAGGAAATTTAAAAATAATTAGATTAAACGTGATATCAGGTCGGACCAAACTTGAGATAATGCAAGCCCGGCTGGGTCCGGCCGGGCCGGTTGCTTGTCCACACCTAGCTGAAAGTCAAACCAATGGTGAAACTCTTCTGTAACTTTTCTCTTCCAAAGCCTCTCTCTGTGTGTCGCTGGAGAGAGCAAGAAAGAAGGAATAGAGTTTTCGTTGATGGTAATTTCAAGAAAGAGACTTGACAATTTGGTGCTGTGACGTTTAAGGCCCGTCATTAACCCCTCTTCCTCCTCCGCTTTTAACGGAGTGAGAGAGAGGGAAAATTACCAGTTGGTATAAAAAAAAAATTTTAAAAAAAGGTCAAACAAACAGTTCCTTCTTCGTCTATATAACTCCATCACTACCCAACCCAAAACCTTCCCCCTTCTCTCTCTCTCTCTCTCTCTTTCTCTCTCTCTGTCTGATTGATTGCTTTTTCAGCACCAACACAATCTCCTCTCACCAACCTCAGCCCCATTCAACCGCACCCTCCATCATATTCAACCACCACTTCTCATTTTCCACTTCTTCCTCTGTTTGTTACACCCTCTTCATTTTCTTCTTTCTCTATCTTCACCCAACACAAATCAACAACCCTTAAATTCTCTCCACATTCAACCTTTTGCTCACCAATTCTCATCTGGGTCTTCCTCTTTTTCTTCATTCATATCCTATTCCATCGTTTGCCATGGACAAAGAGTACTTTCTCAGTGCTTGTGTGCACTTCGAACCATCGCCGGTGCAAAACTGGCAGTCTCTGTTTTCATCCCAGGAGATGAATTGCTCGCCGGAGCAATCTTTGGATTGTTTCCTCAATCCCAAATGGGATAAGTCAACGGACCAGTACGCGAACTTCGAGTCTGCCCTGAGCTCAATGGTCTCATCTCCCGCGGCTTCCAATTCGGCAGTGTCCAACGACAGCTTCGAAATCCCTGAACTGATCGGAAAACTGGCCAATATTTGCAACTCCGGCGAGATCTCCCCGCAGTCCCACCCTTTGCTGGCGGCCACGGCGGCCTACATTGGCGGTGGAAACAGTAGCCCTTTGAATTCACAGTCACATTTGCCAATTATGGGTCATTTTGTCAAAGAAAAGTTGCCCAATTTGGGTAAGTCAATGCCGCTGAATCCCAATTTGAGGGCACTTTCAGACGATCCCGGGTTCGCCGAGAGGGCGGCGAAGTTTTCATGCTTTGGAAGTCGCAGTTTCAATGGCCGAACGAACCAATTGGGGTTGAACAACACTGAATTGCCATATAGATCTAGTCCATTGATGGGAAGCCTAAATTTACATGGAGTTTCGAGTAGCCCTTCTCTCAAGCAAGCTGTGTCTCCAATGGCTGCTAATCAAGAAAACAAGAATTCGACACAAACCCAAATGGAAATGGTGACTAAAAATGGCTCGGACACAAAATTCAATAAAGTACCAGGGTCTGCTGCCTCGGATCGGACTGAATTTGCCAGTTCTAATGAGGGTTCCTCTGTTTCCGAGCAAATCCCAATTGGGGAAACAGGGTTGAAAACTCCAAGTGATTCGAATTCCAGGAAAAGAAAAGCAGCTTCAAGGGGAAAATCCAAGGAGATTGCACCAATTCCCTCTTCCAACACCACAAAGGTACATAAATCGCCTGCAAAAACTCTGGTTAATCTCAATTTTTATTTTCTTTCAATTCGGCTGAGAATTTTGTAAACTCTGATTCAGGTGGCAGAAACAGAGGACAACTCGAATTCAAAGCGATGCAAATCTAGCGATGCTAATGGGAGCGAAAATGGTAGTGTCAAAACAGAGGAGGAAATGCAGGGGACTGCAAATGCGGCAGGGGAGGAGGATCATAAACAAACCAAGGCTAACCAAAAGCTTCCTGAGCCCCCAAAGGACTACATTCATGTCAGAGCAAGAAGGGGTCAAGCCACTGACAGCCATAGTTTAGCCGAAAGAGTACGAATCATAGCTCAAACTCAATTAGTTTTCATTCTTTTCCACTGTGCTTAGCTTAGTCTAACGCTTCGCTCTTTTGGGTATTTGGCCAGGTTCGAAGAGAGAAGATCAGTGAAAGAATGAAGCTTCTCCAAGATCTTGTGCCCGGTTGCAATAAGGTGACTGGCAAAGCACTAATGCTCGATGAAATTATAAACTATGTACAGTCATTGCAGCGCCAAGTTGAGGTAAATTAGGACTCATTTAATCACCATCTTCTCAATTCATTGCATAAAATCAAGTTCCGTGGCTTATTCGGTATTCATTTTTGTTTTTATGTAGTTTCTCTCTATGAAGTTGGCTTCAGTGAATCCAAGGTTGGATTTTAACATGGATAGTCTCGTACCAAAGGATGTAAGTAAAGGCCATTTTGTAAAATCACTTTCTTTATCTACTGTTTTGGGAGGGCGATTTGACCTAACAGTAAGATTTGTCATTAGCATCTTAGTGGCACATGTTATCCTTTTTTCTTTTCTTTTTCCTTTTTTTTTTTTGTGATTTTTCTAAAATTGATTTGTTGGGTCCATTGTGAATTCCAGGTTTTGCAACCTCATCCAGTATACCCATTAGATTCCTCGGCATCACCTTTCTTCGGACACCAGAACCAGCAAGCCCCACAAACACATACCAATGCTTCCAATGTGACAGTGACCAAATGCTCAGTGGACCCTTCAGTGCAATTAAGTCTGTTTGATGAACTTTGCCAAGGTCTTCCACAGGTGTTTATGCTCTGGCCAATTCCTCAACATTAGATTACAAGTTTGATAAACAATCAACAAAAAATAAAAAACAATAATTTATCATCTAATTCTGGTTCTTGACTTGAATTGTCCAGTTTCCAACATTATGTGAAGATGATCTGCAAAGCTTTGTTCAGATGGGGTTTGGTCAGAACGCAAACTGCAACACAGGATTTCATTCACAAAGCTTTCCTGGTAAGAAATTAAAACAATATATATATATTTTTCAAGATGTCCAGGATTATCTGTACCTAATACCTATAAGTAGGTTAGTTTTTGGGAGAATATAAAATTAAAAATAAAATAAAATAAACTAAATGCAAATCAACCAAACCCAACAAAAGTAAAAACTGTGTCTGGACACAGTGCAATTAGTGGAGTGCGAGTAAGAATTAATTCATACTCAGACTCCACTAATCTACAATTAGTTTTTTTTTTTTTTTAAAATTTTCACTTGTTTAATATTTTCTCTTGATTTGCTATGTTATGGTTTTTGATACATAAATTTGTCCAACACAGGCTCAAGTCAGACATCCCACATGAAACTTGAACTGTGATCACCAATCATCCATCATCAATTCAAGCCCCTGAGGGGAGAGAGAGAGAGAGAGGCTGCTGTATATTATAGAAAAGAAAGAGATTTTCATTCTCAATTGGTTGCTTTCATGGACTGCCAATCCATCTTTAGGTCTAATCAATAGTACATTTTTTTTCCTCTTAGCTTTTATTATTTTATTTTTGATCTTCCTATTTTCTTTTCTTTTTTGGGGGGAGGGGGTGGATTTGTTATAAGTATCCAATGTAAAATCCTAAACCCAGCTCCGTATTATGGTGCAAAAGTCCTATATTAGCACCACTTGTAAGATATAATTTCCGGAAGCTTTCATTTTCCAACCCTTTCCAAATCGTACTACTGCATAATTGAAAATCGGACAATCAATTCAACAAGATTTATCATAATCTTCTCTTAGATTTTTTTTTTGTATTTTGATCATGTCATTCATACACTGTTAACCAATCAATTTCATGATTTTATCCTAATCTTCTCTAAATGATTTTTCATATTTTGTTGTGGTTTGGTAGGTTTGTTTCTAACTTAATGTTGTAACCAGCTGGGTGAGTGGGCCTCCCCAACTCTCTCAAAAGTCCAAAATCTGAAATGATTGGTCACTTGGTTTTTAGCTTTAGCTGTGGTCAACCATAATTTCTGGTAAATCTTGGGCTCCTTAATTCCATTTTTCGAGTAATAAATTGAGCGTTTTTAAATGGATAAAAGTATCTGTAAATGGATAATCCCTTCCCATGGGGCTCCCCGATAGTGCTTGTATTCTGTTTGATAATTACTTAATGTGTCATTAGTGAAAAGCAGTGACATGTGATATTTCATTAATATAGAAAAATTTCTTTTGAAATAGAGATTAGGAACAAGTTGAGATAAAACTATCATCTAAATACTATTAAGAAAATTTCAATAAAAAATTTATTATTGAAGATTTTAATTTTTTAAAAGTTTAATAAAACAAGACTTCATTTAAATATATAGCCTAAGATTTTTAAAAACTTAATGAGTTTCGACGAAGGCTCGGATACCTTGAAAAATAACTGTCAAATAAGATTTACCAGTAATTAATTTACTTTTGACTTTTCACCTAAGGCGACACCTTCTGTTCACTCCAATCATTGTTGTCATTGTTGTGACATATTAAACTCATTCATGGCTAAAAGGAAAAGTAAGAGAATTTGCGAGTTGGAATAAACTTAAAAAATAATTAATGAGACATCAAAAGAATCCCAGGGTGGCAATGGTGGTGAGATTCTGACTAGACTCAATGAATATGTAGGGTTTAACACATCTAATCAAAACTTTTTTTTATATAAAAAATAAAAAAATTATTGTGAATAGGAAAAGGTGATGTAGTGGAGTTCAGGTAAGAAAAAAAGATGCCCTTGAAAAATAGATTAATCATAAGATGAGAGGTGGTTAGTAAAATCCAGTTTCTAGGGATTAAGAAAAGATTTGTGTGTTGCAGCTTTCTGTATAGCTTAATTGAGACTCCCATTATTGGTGGTGTGCATATTAGTCTCTGACTTAATTATCGGAAAGATTCTTTGAAAATGATATACTATTTTTCATAGAAGAGTTAAAACAACATATTATTATATTTGAAAGGTTTAGGTCACAGTCTTGTCCAAGAAAGTTAAAGAAAATAATCATACTGCCTAACTTGTCAGATGGTTCAATTAGTTTTTCATAAAGAAAATTACAAATCAATTAAATATTTTTAAAATAATTACAAAAATATGAAGATGGAACTAGAGTTTTGCTCAAATTCTAAATCCAAAGCCAATTTAAATGTATAAGTTTTGTTCAAAGAAAGGGAAAAAAAAAGAATGAAATAAAGTTTAATTGTGTTCACTTTTTCATAGGAAAATAACAACTCAGATGGTGTTTGGGAAGTGGGTTTTTATGTAGGTTTTTTTAGTTGTAGGTTTTTATTGGATAAAAAATTTTTGGTGTTTGGGAAGATAGTTGGGTTTTTATGTGGTTAGATGTGATGTTTGTGAGAGAAAAAGTGAAATGATTAGGGGGTTGGATGTGATATTTTGTTTGGATGTGTTTTTTTTGGTTTTGTAAAAAGTTTGTCTTTTAGTAAAAAAAATGAGAAAAAAATTTGGAACCTAGGTTCCCAAACACCACCTCAGTGTAGTGGTTGAATTTTTTTTAGAGTGAGATAAAATTTATAAATTTTAATTTTTAAAATCATAAATTTTTTCATATACAGATAATTATTTTTAAAAACTGCACTTGATTTGTAATTTTTTTTTTCCTTCACTGATCTCCCTTCAAATTTTTCATCAAAATACAGCCTAATTTGATTTTCAATTTACCTTTTCTTTTTTACTATTCATTTGGACTCTTTTTCTCTTGCTTTTAGGTGGGTTTGTTTTTATTAGGTTTTCCTAATCTTCAATGAAAAAGCCAATTACTCTGTTTTGGTGACCTTTTGGAACTTGCTAAAAAGTTAATTTTTTGGTTTTTTATCAAATTTTTTTTAAGAAATCACAAAAAAATACAAAAATTATCAAAAAAGTCAAAAAATTAAAAAATTAAACTTTTTATCAACTTTTCAAAACACTACTAGGAGCTAGGAAGCACGGATACGGATACGGATACGATATACGATACGGCGATACGACAAAATTTGAAAAACTAGGATACGGGTACGGCGGGGATACGTTCGTAAAAAATATTATTTTAACAATTTTTAGTAATGCAGTATGCATAAAAATAAAACTTAAAGCAAAAGACAACTTGATAAAGAAGAAAGATTCCTACAAAACTGAGAGTCTTCAAGATTAATAGTTTCAACTTGTTCCCCTTCATCAGTGAATATCACAAGACCTTAGCTAAAGCCAAAGCTAAAAAACCATTCTTAAATAAAAATTTCAGCAAATATACTTTTTTAAGTCATCAATGATAGCCTAGGAAGCACGGATACGAATATGGTGATATGGGAATGTGGATATGGCGATATGTCAAAATTTGAAAAAGTATGATACGGGTACAGCGGGGATACATTCATAATTTTTTTTTTTTATAATTTTAATAATGTAATATGCATGAAAATAAAACTTAAAGTAAATTAATAAATAAAGAGAGGGATTCCTATTAACCTAAAAGTGCTCAAACATTCATAAAACATCCAAAACTAAAAGCAAAAGCAAATGCAAATGCAAATTAAACATCATCCTTACATGCCAACACCAAAAAAAGAATGAGAGCAGAGAGAAGAAACGTGAGAGAGTGAGAAAGCGAGAGAGAAGTGAGAGAGACAACAAGGATACATCAATTTGACAAATTCTATTACTTAAGCTCTCACTATATTCCTCTTATGAAAGAACTAAACAAAATATTATAAGTAATATGTAACTTCGAGTATCCGATACTTCAAAATTAAGTATCCGATACTTCAAAATTAATAAAAAATTAATTAAGAAGTATCCGATACGTATCCGCAAGTATCCGAGGAGTATCGGTATCCGATAAGTATCCGATACGGATACGTCACCCTTTTTGAAATATCCGTGCTTCATAGGATCCCATTGTTAATAACTTTTAGTATTTCCTGTTAAAAAATAAATCATAACAAGGAGAATAATAACAATAAAAAGACACATTTAGGGACAAAATGTTTTGCTTGAAGCAAGAATTTCAAATAAGATTTAAAAAATACAAATACAAATGCAGAAAAAAAAAAAAAACACTCCATATGTTTTTGCCAGAGCAAACTGGAAACTAATAATACAGCTAAATGATTACCTCTCAGCAATTGAGCGGGCTTTCTCAACATCAGCCAAAGAAAGCATAAATGCCATGTACTTTATCCAGACAAAGCTGCTATTTGGGGAAATTCTAACCACTTTCTCAAATTCATCAGCACTTCTTGGAATATCTTTCTCTAATAGCCTTTCTTCAGCAGCCCTAATTTCTCGTTCCCTGAGCAGAACAATTTCCATTCTTAACAGGAAAACTGAGACAGACAGCCTTTTATAAGAAAATCATGAAAATATGTGAATAAAAAAATTACCTCTCTTCATTGGCTTTCTTCTTTGCCTGGCTTTTATTCTTTTGATCTACAGCATCAGCATCATCAACGTGCTCTATATTTTGACAAGCAGCATTAACCATGTCTGATTTCTCTATATCATCGAGAGGGACCTCAAGTGGAAGAATAGAAGCCCTCGCTTCCACTTCAGCAAGAAGAAGATGCTGCCCATTTTCACATTCAAAGTCCAAATTCTGCATCCCCAATGAGCCTCTATCTGGCAACATTGTTAACTGAGTACCCACCATGTGATCTTTTTCCTCAATGGCATCATCATACTTCTGCTTTGAAGGAGCTTGAATGTCATAATTGCTCATAAAATATGAAAATTCGTTGTCTATCCTGATAATAGTTTGAAAAACAGAAGAAAATAAAAAATACAGCTTCTGTAGCCACAGAGAGTTACTCAAACTGCAGAAGTTCCATAGCAGCTGTTCCTATTTTAGATAATATTTAGAGAAATTATTCATTTGAATCAAGATACATGTTCTCCAGAGTCTAGAAAGAGGTTACAATAATCACCATTCAGCAATCATAACACAACAATGATACTGCTTGCAAAGCTTGACATGCAATTGTATACCTTCAAAACCTTTGATGTAACTCTCTCCCCTGCTCTGTATTTAGTTTCAATATTGTCAACATGATCATCAGAAAGCTCGGAAATATGGCATAATCCAACCTAGGCAGAAGAAGAATGCAATTATAAACCCAAACTAATATGCAGTCCGCTGCCAGAGCAGAATACCATGTGTTACATAACCTAAAAAGAGTTGGGGCACACCTACCCATAAAACACATCCTATATTCAAAGTTTGGTAAAATCAAACAGATGTGATGATTGTACAAACTGGCTTATTATTATAGTGACAGAAGTTGATGGGCCAGACGTCACAATAAATAAACTGAGACCCAATTATTCTTGTTCAAAACTACAAATCTGGGTATCATAAGAACGAACTTGCAGAGAAATACCAAATTACTTACTGTGTTTGCATGATCAATTGTGATAAACAAACCGTATGATTCAATGCGCTTAATCTGGCCAGAAACAATATCTCCAACATGGAGACTATTTAAACCATTTATGTCACTTTTTTGTGTTTTGCTTGCATTTGATGTCCTAAGGGTGACTTCAACTCGCTTAGACAAAGGCTCCACAGATGCCACCCTGCATGCAAAGTGTCTCAAAAGATTTCCTTAACAACTATCTATCAGAAAGTAGTACTACCAGAAATACTTACTTGCCAACAACAAGTTTCCCAATAGGGAATTCTTTTTCGAGATTTTCAACATAGCCATCAGACAAGTTTGAGAGAAGGATTTTCGCATCGAGCTTCCGAGAAAGCATAATGAAGCATCCCTTTGGTGTGATGTTCTTAACATAGCCCTATTTAACCCAAAAAAGAAAAATAAAAAACTAAGGTGCTAAGCATGAATATTTGATGACATGAAAAGCAACAAATGTCAACAGACAACAAAACACACTGCTCAGCCTAAATTAATTGAACTGATGCAAAACAATATTCTACATATATGACCAAAAAAACATACTGATCATATTCTGTCCAAGCAACAAATCAATTAGAATGGATGATTACTGTACATTTGAAACTTAAATATCACATGGTCAGAACAAAAAGTAGATTCTGATGGAAGAAGAAACTGAGGATCAGTTCATTTATTTTGATAATCATGAATTAATCATACAGTCGAAAAAGATCTTGACGAAGTAAACATACTAATTTCCAATTCATACAACATTATCAGCAAAGTCAAAGTGTGGTCATTTGCCAGACAATGTAATGTAGGACAGCTTTTTGGATTTTCAGAACAGAGGCTATTTAGATTTGGGTTTGATTGTAAAGGATTTTCGGGCTGAAAAGTGCACTTTTTGAGGGCTATGAATGATATAACCGGAAAATAGTAACTTGGGTATGTACAAAAAGAAGAAGAAAAGGAAATAGAAGAAGAAATAGGTGTTTCACCCTCGAAAGGGTTACGCCAATCACACACAAACACAATCTTAAATTCTCATAATTTGAACTCTATTAAATCATTGAGAGTACACATATATTTATAGGCTAAAGACTCCCTTACTCCCTACTCAAACAAAGGATTAAGACTCAAATTTAGAAACTAAAACTACAAAAATTCTAGACGAACTATTACTATGACTTCTAATTCTACTCCAACTATGACATAAATTCAAAATAAGAAACTTTGACCTTTTTTACCACTCAGACTATTCTACACATAACAAAACATATATATAATAGGGGTAGTTACAAGCTAGTCCTGTGGACTGGACTTATTTATCAAAAAGTACACTCCAACTTTCAATGATAAATTTATCACTTAAAAAATGTTTTTTTTTAAATGCAATTCAACTATTTCCCACATCATATTTCAATACAAACTAACACAAATAAACTAAGAATAAAACAAATTCACAAACAAAAGTCAAATTTGATAAATTTATCAATATCATTACTACTAACAAATTATCATTCCACAAACACAAAACACATCTAAAAAGTTTGAAAATGTTCTCATTATCAAAACAAGAGGCAAATATGTTAAAAAATAAACAAATTCACTTGGGACTTGTGAGTAAATAAGTCTAGTCAATATGACCTGCTAATAATTATCCCCATATCATAATCCATTTAATAATTGGATCCAAAATACAAACCATGGACAACCTAAACAATATGAGCCTCTACGTACACAACAACTGTATCTCCTTGCACCTTTTTTCTATTTGCAGCCCATCAAAAATTAAAAAATATAACTCACATGCCTACCCTGTAACAGCTGTAACCACCATCTCTGACTGCCGTAGCTACCATCTCTAACCACAGCAACCACCAGCCCTCCCCAACCTCCTACACCATTACATAGCCTCCATCCCCCTCAGCCCTCCCAAGCTCGGGGACCACCACATCGCAACCATCCCCAACCCAACGACCCCACTATACAACCTTCCCTATCCAAGTGGCCATCACTTCGTAGCCTCCCCTCACCCTTCCCCAACCTCAAATCTAGGGTTTTCATAAAGGAAGGGAAGAGGATCTAGAGTTCTCAGAGAAGAAAAGAAGGAAGTCACTGTCATCAAGCTACTGAAGCTGAACAAATTATGATCAATTGTGATAAACAAACCGTATGATTCAATGCGCTTAATCTGGCCAGAAACAATATCTCCAACATGGAGACTATTTAAACCATTTATGTCACTTTTTTGTGTTTTGCTTGCATTTGATGTCCTAAGGGTGACTTCAACTCGCTTAGACAAAGGCTCCACAGATGCCACCCTGCATGCAAAGTGTCTCAAAAGATTTCCTTAACAACTATCTATCAGAAAGTAGTACTACCAGAAATACTTACTTGCCAACAACAAGTTTCCCAATAGGGAATTCTTTTTCGAGATTTTCAACATAGCCATCAGACAAGTTTGAGAGAAGGATTTTCGCATCGAGCTTCCGAGAAAGCATAATGAAGCATCCCTTTGGTGTGATGTTCTTAACATAGCCCTATTTAACCCAAAAAAGAAAAATAAAAAACTAAGGTGCTAAGCATGAATATTTGATGACATGAAAAGCAACAAATGTCAACAGACAACAAAACACACTGCTCAGCCTAAATTAATTGAACTGATGCAAAACAATATTCTACATATATGACAAAAAAAACATACTGATCATATTCTGTCCAAGCAACAAATCAATTAGAATGGATGATTACTGTACATTTGAAACTTAAATATCACATGGTCAGAACAAAAAGTAGATTCTGATGGAAGAAGAAACTGAGGATCAGTTCATTTATTTTGATAATCATGAATTAATCATACAGTCGAAAAAGATCTTGACGAAGTAAACATACTAATTTCCAATTCATACAACATTATCAGCAAAGTCAAAGTGTGGTCATTTGCCAGACAATGTAATGTAGGACAGCTTTTTGGATTTTCAGAACAGAGGCTATTTAGATTTGGGTTTGATTGTAAAGGATTTTCGGGCTGAAAAGTGCACTTTTTGAGGGCTATGAATGATATAACCGGAAAATAGTAACTTGGGTATGTACAAAAAGAAGAAGAAAAAGAAATAGAAGAAGAAATAGGTGTTTCACCCTCGAAAGGGTTACGCCAATCACACACAAACACAATCTTAAATTCTCATAATTTGAACTCTATTAAATCATTGAGAGTACACATATATTTATAGGCTAAAGACTCCCTTACTCCCTACTCAAACAAAGGATTAAGACTCAAATTTAGAAACTAAAACTACAAAAATTCTAGACGAACTATTACTATGACTTCTAATTCTACTCCAACTATGACATAAATTCAAAATAAGAAACTTTGACCTTTTTTACCACTCAGACTATTCTACACATAACAAAACATATATATAATAGGGGTAGTTACAAGCTAGTCCTGTGGACTGGACTTATTTATCAAAAAGTACACTCCAACTTTCAATGATAAATTTATCACTTAAAAAATGTTTTTTTTTAAATGCAATTCAACTATTTCCCACATCATATTTCAATACAAACTAACACAAATAAACTAAGAATAAAACAAATTCACAAACAAAAGTCAAATTTGATAAATTTATCAATATCATTACTACTAACAAATTATCATTCCACAAACACAAAACACATCTAAAAAGTTTGAAAATGTTCTCATTATCAAAACAAGAGGCAAATATGTTAAAAAATAAACAAATTCACTTGGGACTTGTGAGTAAATAAGTCTAGTCAATATGACCTGCTAATAATTATCCCCATATCATAATCCATTTAATAATTGGATCCAAAATACAAACCATGGACAACCTAAACAATATGAGCCTCTACGTACACAACAACTGTATCTCCTTGCACCTTTTTTCTATTTGCAGCCCATCAAAAATTAAAAAATATGCACCTTCCCAAATCTTAACTCACAAACCTACCCTCTAACAGCTATAACCACCATCTCTGACTGCCGTAGCTACCATCTCTAACCACAGCAACCACCAGCCCTCCCCAACCTCCTACACCATTACATAGCCTCCATCCCCCTCAGCCCTCCCAAGCTCGGGGACCACCACATCGCAACCATCCCCAACCCAACGACCCCACTATACAACCTTCCCTATCCAAGTGGCCATCACTTCGTAGCCTCCCCTCACCCTTCCCCAACCTCAAATCCAGGGTTTTCATAAAGGAAGGGAAGAGGATCTAGAGTTCTCAGAGAAGAAAAGAAGGAAGTCACTGTCATCAAGCTACTGAAGCTGAACAAATCGTCTCTTTGCAGCGTCATGGCGTCAGTTCAATGCTCAATGTTCGAATATAGATAACCAGAGACAAACGAATAGCGTTTGTTCAATTTTTTGATGTTGAATGAATCATGTTTGTTTGGAGAGCAGCCATCGAACAGGATGGTATAGTTCACTGGGGAGTCATCGAACAAGTTCACTAGGGAAGAGGAAGGGGGAGGGGGTGCGCGCAGTAGGCCAATGGCTATGGGAAGGGGTTGCGGTGGTTTTGGAGAGAGATTGCAGTGGTTTGCTGGTGTGGAGGAAGGGTTGTCGTGGTTCATCGAGATGGAGAGGAGAGGTTGTATTGGTTCGCAGGGTTAGTAGAGAGGTTGCGGTGGTTATAGGAAGGAATGGTAGCAAGTTGGAAAGGTTGTGGCGTTGGTTGTCGGTGCAATTGCCAGTAGTAATGGCAGTTTGGGGGTGTTTGAAAAATTAGGATTTATAATTTGTAGGGGAGTTTTTTTTTTTGGGTAATTTTACATGAGGATAGAATTGTAATAAAAAAAAAAAAAAAAAAAAAAAAAAAAAAAAAAAAATAAAA